GCGGGGCGGGCACCTGGAGGAGGGAGCGGCAGGATCGCGCCAGAGAGGAGCGACAGGGTTGCGGGGATCCGGGCGCGGGGTACGTCGGCACGCAGAATGTTAGCGCGCGCACTTTTCCGGTCTGCTGTGTTGCAGCCCTGAACATTCGCGTGGGAGCTCTTCTGATCTCCAAGAACAAACTTCCGAATGGCCAAATTTCTAATCCTGGGGAGCAGAGATGGGAAAAGGGGAGGGAGGGGGCAGGCTGGGTCTCCTCCTCGCGCTTACCCATGCACGTCGGCTCCACTTGTGTCCCCGTCTCACAGATGGCAAATAAAGCGAGGTTTGACTTTCCCCACCCTCCCAGGCAGCTGATGGAATTTCCAACCCTCCCCAGCGCCAGGACCAGCGGGAGCGTTTATAGGTAATAACTGTCACCTAAGAGCACACTCCAGGCGTCTGTGCTTCCCCCGCGGGCTAGCCTGGGGCGCTTGGCTTATCGAGGGCCTCGGCTTATCGGTTACTGATCGCCCCACCTCACTCGACCCTAGATGCAGGTGGCCCTGCCGACTAGTAAGGAATCCTGTGGAGCAGGAGGCTGTCCTGGAGGGAGCATTTCTACAGGGGGAATTTAAACATGCCTGCTATTTCAGCACCGAGTGAGGCTGAGGCAGGAGGGATTCAAAATTTCAAGTGCTGTCTGAGAAATTTAGCAAGACCCTGTTTCAAAATTTAAAAAAGGAAATAAGAAGGAAAGCTTTAGTTCAGTGGTAGAGTGCCCCTGGGTTCAATCCACAGTACCACAAAGGAGGGAGGTCATGTACAAAGCACTTGCAGTGGTCCCAGCAAAGATCCTAGTGGGCTCATAGTGCAGAACCGCTAAGGATATATGCAGCACCAGTTGTCCTACCTATGTCACCCCGCTTCTGAGCATTCCGCTTTATTTCTAGGCCCGTGAAAGGCCTTTTTTTTCCAAAGGAGGGCCTATTCTTCCAAAGACCAATTTATTGGCTACCCGGGCACTTAGTTCTGATGCGGTTGGAGAAGGAAGGTCAAGCTGGACCCCACCATGACCCCAGAAGATAAGGAAAAGGATTTCTACTAGATTAGTGCTTACCTCTGTGGAGTTAAGGAAGTTGCACCCACTCTTCCAGGGCCGTAGACAACACTCTGAAGTTGATCTGCACCCCAAGGATGGGGATGTAGCTTAGCTGCATGGGGCAGCATAACCTCCCTCTACCCTCTCTTTCCCTCTCCTCTGAAAGAGGCTCTGTTAGGATTTAAGCTGCAGCATAAAGTCCAGGAACAGTACACAAATCATAACCCGTCCCCCTGCCCTTTTCTAGTGGTACTGGGGATTGTACCCAGGGCCTTTGGGCTGAGCTACATCTCCAGCACCCCCATCTATCTATCTATCTATATTTTTTTGTACTGGGAATCTAACTCAGGATCTTGCACTAGCAAAGCAGTCAGTGGCACCACTGAGCTAAATCCCCAGTCCTTCTTGTTTGTTGAGACAGGGTCTTGAATTCAGTGAGTAGCACAGGCTGGTCTAGAACTCACAGCAATCCTCCTGTCTCAGCCTCCCAAGTACTGGGATTAGAGGTGTGTGCCAGCATATCCGGTTTATTTTTTATTTTAAAAGGGGTCTTATACTTCCAAAATTGTTATATAGATTTAATGCAGTTACAATAAAAATGCTAACAGCGTATCTCACAGAATTAGAAAAAACAATCCTAAAATTCATTTGGAACCAGAAGAGACCTAGAATAGCAAAAGCAATTCTGGTCAACAAAGGCAAGGCAGGGGACATCACAATACCTGACTTTAAAACTTATAGTACAGGCCGGGGATTTAGCTAAGTTGTTCCACCACTGCCTTGAAAGAGCAAGGACCCGAGTTTGATCCCTGGTACAAAAAATTATACTACAAAGTTACTGTGATAAAAACAGCATGGCACTGGCAAAAGAACAGACTTGAGAATCAGTGGAATACACTACAAAATGCAGAAAGAACTCCAAACATACTCCGACATCTAATCTTGACAAAGGAGCCAAACACCCTCACTGGGGGAAAGATAGACTCTTTAGTAAGTGGTTCTGGGAAAACTGGCTTTCCACATACCCAAGATTAAGACTAGACCCATATCTTTCACCATGTACTAATCAAAAATCAAAACGGATCAAAGTTCAAATTATTAAAATGGAAAAACTAAATCTGCTGGAAGAGAGAATAGGTAGAATGCTCAAGGACAAGAAAAGGCAAACACTTCATGAACTAAACCCAGACCACATGGGAAATACTACAGAGAATCAACAACTGGGACCTCACCTTATTAAAAAACTTTTGCATGCAAAAGAAACCACCAACAGAGTGAAGAGACAACCCACAGCATGGGAAAAAAATTTTTACCAGATATTCATCAGATAAAGGACTAATATCCAGAACATATAAAGAATGAAAAAAAAAACCCAGCCCCCCCCCAAATTTAAAGACCCAATACAAAAATGGGCATCTGAAATGAAAAGATACTTATCAGATAAAGAAGTAGAAATGGCAAATACATATACGAAGAAATGTTCATCATCACTGGTCATTTGTGAAATGCAAATTAAAATAACACTGAGGTTGTATCTCCAGAAAGAGTGGCTGCTATCAAGAAATCAAACAATAACAAATGCTGGTGGGGCTGTGGGGAAAAAGGACCCCTTCTTCACTGTTGGTGGGAGTGCAGACTGGTGCAACCACTGTGGAAATCAGTGTGGAGATTTCTCAAAAAACTAAAACTAGATGTTCGATATGACCCGGCTATACCTATTCTTGGTATCTTAGCAAAAGAATGAAAAGCATCCTACAACAGCGATATATGGGCACCCATGTTTATAGCAGCACAGTTTATAGTAGCTAAATCTTGGAAACAGCCCAAATGCCCATCAACTGATGAATGGATAAGGAAGATTTTTTATACAATGGAGTACTACTCTGCCAAAAAGAAGGATAAGCTTCAAACATTTATAGCTAAATGGATAGACCTTAAGACCATACTCTTGTTGGTTTTTTTTTTTTTTTTTTTTTGAGACAGGGTCTCACTATGTAGTTCAGACTGTTCTGGAACGCACTGTGTAGCCCAGGCTGGTTGAGACCATACTCTTAAGTGAAATAAATCAGACACACATATTTAATACTGCTTTGTTTCTCTGGTGTGAGAAAACGAAAGTGGAAATAAGTACTAAAACATATAATAGATATTGGGAAATGGGAAGAAAGTGTTCAAATGGGAAGGGGAACAAGGGAGGAGGGAGGGAGAAAAGAAGGAAGAAACAAGAAACAAAAATGAAAAATAGAAGGAAAAAATGGAAACAAAGCTTTTGTACATAGGGAGGGCAGGGAACAATGGGATAAAATATAAATAAATAAATAGGATCTTGATGAGTTGCCTAGGCTGGGCTTGCACTTGTGAACCTCCCACCTTGGCTTCCCTGAAGGCTAGGATTACAGGTGTGTGCCGCAATGCCTGGTGTAAAAAGTACTTATAAAAACACATTCTTGAGGCCTTGGGTTCAGTCCCTAGCACCACAAAAATAAATAAAAAAGCACAATGAAGAAAAGCTGTTCTTCACAAAAGAAACCAGTCTAACCTGGGCATAGTGGTGTGTGCCTATAATCTCCACTATTTGAGAGGCCCATGAATCACAAATTCAAGGCCAGCCTGGGCAATTTAGCAAGACTCTGTCTCAAAAACTTTAAAAGGCTGGGGATGCAGCTCAGCACTCTCTGGGCTCAATCCCGAAACAAATAACAACAGAAAAAAAATCAACATCAGACAATGCTGTTCTGTGTCCCTGATGAATTAATCCCAAAACAAGACTAATTTGTAATTTTGTCTGATCACAATCTCATGAACATTGTCTAGACAACAAAACAAAACAAAACAAAACAAAACAAAAAAAGGCCAAATATCCCCAAAGCTGCCAAACCTGGCTGCTAAGTTATTTTTTCCTGAGGTGCTCCGTGTGGAACCCAGGGCCTTGCACACATTAGGCAAGTGCTCTGTCACTGAGCCACACCTCCAGGCCCAGCTTGGCTAATATGTAACTTCATTATCAGTTACAACTTTAATCTACTCTGATTCACTTCCTAGATGAGATTCATTGAGATACCTACTCATAGACTTATCCTCACTTCCTATCCAGAGCGAATCCCTGCTTTTCTGCTTCCTTTTTATGGAGTAGGTTTGAGTTTTTGAGACAGGGTCTTGCTATGAAGTCCGAATCGACCTCAAACTTGCAGTGGTCCTCCTGCCTCAGCTCCCAAGTGCTGGGATTACAGCATGTGCCACTGTGCTCTGCTTCCTTCAGCCTTCACCTGGACAAACACACACAGCCACAGGGCTAGGAGTGAAATTCAGTAGAGTGCTGTTTTGCGGAAAGGGATTGGTAATTGGGTATTGAACCAAGAGCCTTCCCTTGGTTCAGATCTTTTTTAATGTTTTCATCTTTGGGTTTTGTTTTGTTTTTGTTTTGTTTTGTTCTGTTTTTGAGACAGTGTCTCACTACGTAGTTGAGGCTGACCTGGAACTCACTATGTAGCCCAGGCTGGTCTCGAACTCACAGTGATCCTCCTGCCTTCAGCCTCCCAAGGGCTGGGATTACAGGTGTGTGCCACCGCACCCAGCCTTTTTTAAATTTTTGAGACAGGGTTTGCTAAGTCACAAAATTGCCTAGACTAGGCTCTGTCTTGTGATCATACTGCCTCAGCCTTCCAGAATGGTGGCATTACAGGTGCACCACCACACCTGACTTTACCAGTACTTTTCTAGTTGTACAAGATTCTAGGTTCAAGCTGGACATGGTGGTACACACCTGTCACCCCAGCACTCTGGAGGCTGAGGCAAGAAGGCCGCTGC